TAGGAAAAAATAAACAAGTCATGTTTTATAGCCCGTCAAGAAGATAAGCAAGTTATATATTACCTCGTTAAAAATAATAACCTAACTGTGTTTTATAGTTTGTTAAAATAAGATAAACTAACCATTTTTTTTCCTTTTTTACACACTAACTGTTTATTTTTTACTTCTGTATCCAACTTCAGCTATAAAACCCTTACCCACCAAGACTTAGCTGCTGGTCTCCCCCTTTGAGAGAGACAGCCCCAGGTCTGGTCATAGACTCTTTGGAACGAAAATTCTTTTATACAAGTTTTGTTTAGGAGCCTTAAACTTAACACTGGTTTGCTTTTTCAAGGTCATCGCCAATGATTAGGGACCATTCTACCACCGAAAGACCCTGAGATAGACCTATGTGGACAATGAATGATCAGAAATGTCCGGACTTCAAAATACAGGGAAGTTACAGCTTCTAAACTTGATGAATTGTCCCAAATGTGGGTAGTTTATCCAAGTTATCATAGGGCATAAGTAGAATTCTGATTGCCTATGTGGACATGTTTATAACAGATTTCTAGAACAGCTTGTAAGTTCCTGGTATTTCTAAAATTTGGTTAATTGTATTACCCCAGTAGGACTGAAAATTAGTGCCTGCAGACCAAGGCTACTTCTCAACTGGTGTTTTTACTGGAACATATTACATTCGTCCTAATGTCAGGCTTTGCATTCTTGCAAAATCCTAATGATTTGTGAATGTTAATAAGGCTGTGAACTGTGCTTCCGCTCAATGTTCAGGTTCTAGGCATGGCATATTTTTTGTCCAAAATTCTCCAGATTTTTGAGAAAGGACAATTTTAGTAGTAAAACCAAGATACTTTGGCCAAGTTCTTAAATATACAATGCAATTTTTAGAAAATTGGTTATTTTTAATGTTTTATTTCCCTCCTCACTTTTTTTTTTTAGGTTCAAAGCGATCTGCTCATTGAAGGATTTAGAAATGAATCAGAAGAGATGAATGCAGAGATAAGTCATTTGAAAAGTATGATTGATAGTACTCAAAATGATGATACTCCATGGATAGCACAAACCTTAGACAAATTTGCCGATGAGCTCACTTCAATATTGTCTGTTCCTGCTAATCTTCTTGCAATGCTGTGAGAGGCGTGAGCTCACTACTTGAAGAAAAATAGTTCTCCTTTTAAAGAAATTATATGGATATATGCTCTGTCCTATTTTTGGTGTATATGCTTTTTGCTCTCATTCAGCCAAATTTTAAACATAAAAAGTACCTATAGAGGATTTAATGCCTGGCCCACATTAGGTGGAATAAATGGACATACGTTTTTATGTAGCACATTCACTTTTAGGAAATATACATGTGAAAAATAACATACACACACACACACACACACACACACACACACATACCTAGAGGCAATCAGTCGATTGAGGCTTTGCTTTAAATGACCAAAGGTTGGAAACTACTTAAACATTCATTCATATAAACCAGTAATATAAAATTAGCATGTACATATACTGGAATACTATGTAGCCAGTAAATAAATTGAGAGTGCAGCTCTATTTTTACAAATAAAGAACAATCTTGAAAATATACCATAAAGTGAACACAGGGTGTGTATAATATGTTCACTGTAAAAAAAAATGTAATTATTGTGTGCAAACATACATATGTGCACATAGAATATATCTGGGAAGATTTATTGGAAACTAGTATCCTTAGTTACTTCTGGGGAGAACTCAGTGCCATCAGGGTGGAAGAGAGCACACTTTCTGTTACATACTCTATTTTTTGAATCTTGTAAATAAAACTTATATTACCATTTCACAAATAAATAAATAACAATAAATATAAAGTATAATGCCACTACTACTACTAATAAAGAGAATGTGAAATTGGCTATTCGGTGATGAAATTGCTTGTTGCTTCTAGAAACGGCATCGACCTGCAATATGAGGGGTCTAAGACTCAGATCAGTGTGTGAGAAAGTATAACATTTATATCCT